GTATGGATCGTGGTGTATTTCGGAAGCAAAACATACCCAGGCATGCAATGGGATGACCCGTACCCGTCCACATCTCTCAGATCGGCCATCGTATCGCCCTGATATCTCATTGCGTGTTTGTCTTGCCTATGTTGCTACCAATTGAATTTCAGGATGCAGAAGGTTACTCTTTGCTCAACAACAGGAGTACGCCTTTTCATCTTTGGTTGGGTGTTGACCACAATCACCAACTTCCCTTCTGCTTTCACTCATACTTCTATCAATGCAGCTGTCCTCAAAATGGATAAGTATTTGAATGAGTCCTATACCGATCGTTACCGTCCCCTGGATCATCACGAGGTAATCTATTTCATATGGAACCCTCTCCACTGTATTTCCTGTAATGAATTTCAGGTTTCATTGATTAAATCTGGGATCAATAGCGTATGGTACGCTGGCCAAGTGGCTGGGGCACTAATGAGCCCTTATGTGTGCGATAATTGGGGTAGAAAACGTGAGTTTTCTCAATTTCGTCTTCAAAATGTTACTTCTTTTCATCCAATAAAGCTAAATTGGGTCGTTTTATGAAGCAGTGATGGGCCAAGGGTATTCTCTTGCAAAATGTTGAGCTGGTCTGGCTCCATTGCCAATTTCTCTGCTAATTCTCCCAGAGAGTGCGCCTTGCCCTCATGAGGGAAACTATCTCAGCTCAGAGCTTAAAGACACAGTTCACGATACAAATGGAGTCTGAGATTCCCCTATGGCATAAATTCGAGGCTCCCCCTTATACCATACCTGCCGTCATAAGCTCGAAAAACTTCCTGGGTAGAGCACTGTATCGTGTGAATGCCGCACCCGTAAAGGACGAATTTCAACGGCTTTGTAGAGGCTGGACTATCTCAAGGGACCCCAAGTAGGATGTTCTATGTACTTTTCATAATCCGCGGCGATAGTGAAAGGCAGTTTCGGACAATTTCCGCTTGATAAAGTCATCTCTTTGCGCAAATCGAGTATGTTACATCTCGTCCAAATACGCTTGCA